GGGGGAAGTGGCTTCCTCTACGTCAATTATCCTTTTTGGGGTTTCGTGACCGTCTTGCAGTAACATTTGGTTTCTAAGGTGTTCATGAGTAAGCTCTTTGAATCTGGTTGTGATATGTTATTTTATTTTATTTTATTTTTTCAAATGAAGTATGGAGGTAACAGCTTATACTATATATCAATTATAATTGAGATGATTTCAAAACAAGGGTTTCAATTGAGATTTTTCTTTTTCTTTTGATGATGTTGGATTTTTTTTTAGATGTCCTTCAAAATGCTGAGTATAACTTTTAAAGGAAAATGGTGGAGCAACTTGTGCGTGTGTTTAAAATTTCTGTATTACTTCGTAAATATGATATATTCAAAGACAACAGAGGCTCCTTGTACTGACAGTATAATACGAAGAAGGATTTTTTTTGTCATGTTAAAAGATGTAGGACGTTTTTGGAGGATTTATATGACATATAAGTTTTTGCAAATATATGTTGAGTTTCTGGCATTAAACAGTGGCTACATATAGGTACTTTGAAGGTCAACTCAGTCCAATATCTGAAGGTGATGTTGAAGATTTTCCGGAGAATTCTCCCGTCAGAGTCACTGAAGCAGCTGAGAAGGTGTTTTTTTTTGTATTTGTGTATACTTTGTTCTGTATTTATTATTTCTTTAGTTTACCTTTGCAGGTTTACCTCTATAAAACTCTGCAATGAGGATGCACCTCATGACATCATTTTTTAACATATGGCTAATTGTAGCTAATTAACATATTTACTACATAAATTATTTCTAAAAATGAAAATAAAAGTTTTTAGTAGAAATTTCAAATAATTCATAAAAAATATATTATTATCTTTGTTTAAAATAACATATATCATTCACAAGACTTGCTTATCTTAGGTTAAATTATTTTTTCTAACTCATACTAGTACATATCCCGTGCGATGCACGGGACAGAGATATTGAATTAGTCATTTCAATAGGGTTTGTACGTTAAGTAGCCTTTGCGATGCACGAGACAAAGATATTAGATAAGTAATTTTCATAGGCTTGTTCTTTAAGGCCTAAAAATAATAGAGTTGCATCATCTATTTTCCACCGCTTTTCATCAACGTCATTTTTTTGTTGGGACGTTAACGTTGTGCCTGCTAGCGCTAGCCCGTAAATTAATTTATATATTATCCCGCTAAAATGTTAATAGTAATATAAATTTGATATTACTATATATATTTATTCTTTGATATAAGAAAAATAACAATTTTACTTATTCTTGTTCCTTGTACACTACTCAATTATTTATTATAAAATTTGTTGTAATATAACATTATTATTATTATTTATAAAAGTTATAGATGTAGTCTTCTTCTTCTTTTTTATTTTTTATTTTTATGTAAGGAAAATATTTAATGGTTTTAATATAATTTATTAATGTAATTAATTTAAATTATGTAAATAGATTTAAATAAAACATTGTGTACAAATATTTTACAAAATATACACAAATGTTTATTTTAGAATTTAATTTTTTTGTAATGATTAAACATCTTTGAATTTTCTAATTTGCATCATAAGGCTTTATAGTTTATTCAACATACTATGCAATGAAAATATATTTTAAAAGAATTTGACTATGGATAGAAATCAAAATAAAAAAAAAAAAAATGATAGAAAAAGTCATGGTTAACAATAGTATAAAAATAAATCACATGTTGAAATCCTACAACAACAACAACAACAACAAAGCCTTTTAGTCCCAAACAAGTTGGGGTAGGATAGAGATGAAACCCAAGAGAAACAGTGTTAAGAGAAACACAAAAAGGGCTCAAAACAAAACAAAACAAAACAAACTCAAAACAAAGCAAAACAAAGGAAGAGATTGGAGCAAAAGAGAAAGGAGCAAAAGTCACGGTTCTGACACGTTGATCGCTAGCCTTCAAGCGCTCCTATCCACCGCTAAATCCTTGGAGATATTCCAATTTTTAAGGTCTCTCTGAACCGACTCTTCCTAAGTGAGTTTAGGCCGCTTGAACCTCTGCCCTTCTCTTTTACAACTCCTGTAGAGGGCAAATCGCCACCGCTAACCTGACCGACAACTCGACCTTGAGACCGGAGCCTGCTCTTCGAGTTAAACCACTTTTGGCCCTTTCTTTAGAGCTCCTTTGCTTGATAGGACATGACTTGCATTGCTTTCCCAACGGCTAAAGAATACATTCCAGGGAATTCTATTAAAGAGATAACATCCATTTTATTAAGGAATTGCTAACAGCTCATCTTAACGCAAAACTCAGTTCAGGAAAAGAGAGAGGGCAGGGGGAGTGAGGCTATCGTACCAGATGGGCGATCATCTTCTTATGAAGTTATGGAGGGGTATCAAGCAGATTTTTATTAAGCAGTGGTTCCAACCCGACCTCTACCTCTCTTAACATCATCGACCCGCTGTAGAACTCCCTACGCACCAGTGCATCAGGAGGCCTCCGTTGGACATATCCGAACCACCTCAGCCGATGTTGGACCAATTTCTCCTCAATTGGAGCCACCCCGACCCTATCGAATATCCTCATTCCGGATTATATCCCTTGTGTGCTCGCAAAACCAACGCAACATACGTATCTCTGCTACACTTAGTTTGTTGGACATGTTGCCTTTTTGTAGGCCAACATTTAGCACCGTATAGCATCGCCGGGCGAATCGCCATCCTATAGAACTTACCTTTTAGCCTTTGTGGCACCCTCTTATCACAGAGAACGCCCGAAGCTTGACCCCATTTCAACCAACCGGCTACAATTCTATGCCTAACATCTGCATCAATATCGTCATCCTTTTGTAGCATCGATCCTAAATACCGAAAAGTCTGCTTCTTGGCCACCACTTGCCCGTCAAGGCTAACGTCACCATCATCATGAGTAGCCATGCTGAAAGCGCCCGTCATGTACTCGGTCTTCGTCCTACTAAGTCTGAAGCCTTTCGACTCTAACGTGTCCTTCCACAGTTCTAACTTCCTATTTATCTTTGCCCTACTCTCGTCAACTAGCACCACATCATCAGCAAACAACATACACCAAGGGATATCACCTTGTATGTCCCTTGTGGCCTCATCCATGACCAAGGCAAATAATTAAGGGCTCAATGCTGACCCTGGTATAATCCTATTTTAATTGGGAAGTCGCTGGTATTGCCCCCACATGTTCGGACACACGTCATCCATCCTTGTACATATCCTTGATGAGAGTAATGTACTTAGATGGGACTTTGTCTTTTCTAAGACCCACCACATGACATTCTTCGGTACTCTGTCATAAGCCTTCTCAAGGTCGATAAAGACCATGTGCCACAGTTTTAAATGGCGAATGGCGAGGCGAGGCGATTCGCCATGGCAAGGCCTCACGAACACAAGCCATCGAAGCTGAAAAATTATATATATATAGATAGTAATATCATATATTTAAGTTTAAGTGCCAAAAATAATCTTAAATATCCTAAAAAAGATAACATAAATTAAATTTGGTTGTAATTACTCAAAGCATCTAAAACTTAAATGTGAATACTAGCAATAAGGTAAATAAAAAGTGTAAAGTAAAAGAAATTGAAAGAAAACTGTCACCCTTGACTATTGACAATACTAGTAACAGAAATAAAGTAAAAAAAAATGAAGAAAGAAGAAAAGATTAGCGGCAGAAACGGGAACGAGAAAATAGAGAAAAGGGAGAAGGAAAAGAAAGGAAAAGACACGCATCACTGACCATCTTGGTGGCGGCGAGATGGTGGCCGGAGTTCAGAGGAGGCCGGAGATGGGATGGGTCGGCCGTGGGTTTCTGCAATTTTCAAATCTGAGAAGCTTAGGGAGTTTTTTTGCAGAAACCCTAGTCCTAGTTTGGGGAGGAGCCATTTAGGGATTTTCCACTGAAGTTTTTTTCTTCGTGGGTCTGGGAGATGAAGTGAAGAAAGTGCTCGAGCTGTTTTAATTATTCTCTTTCCTAAAAGTGGCACGTTTTTCTTTTCTTTTCTTTTTTTAAATGGACAATGCCTTTAATTTCTCTAAAAGGTGCAGAGGCGCGCCTCACAGGCGCCTCTCGCCACTCGAAAAAGCGAGCTGAGGCGACCTGAAGCAAGCGCCTCGCGAACAGGGTCGCCTCAGGCAGTGGAGAGGCAATATGGACCTCGCCTCGGTCGCCTCGCCTCGAGGCGTCGCCATTTTAAACTATGCCATGTGCAAGTCCTTTTGGTCCCTATATCTCTCCATCAACTGTCGTATTAGAAAAATCGCCTCCATGGTCGACCTTCCAGGCGTAAACCCAAATTGGTTTTGGGTCACACTCGTCACTCGTCGTAGGCGATGCTCGATAACCATCGTCCAGAGCTTCATCGTATGACTCATCAACTTAATCCCACGGTAGTTACCAAAACTTTGAACATCACCCTTGTTCTTGAAGATCGGTACTAAAGTACGTCTCCTCCATTCATCAGACATCTTGTTTGATCGGAAAATGAGGTTAAAAAGCTTAGTTAGTCATACTAACGCTCTGGCGCCCAAGCATCTCCACACCTTAATGGGGATACCATTAGGACTCATTGCTTTACCTCTTTTCATCCTCTTCATAGCCTCTCCGATCTTTGCCTCCCGAATTCTCCTCACCAAGCGTCTATTGGTATCCTCAAATGAGTCATCCAATCTCCCTATTAAACAATTTGTCGAAGTACTCTCGCCATCTGTTCTTGATCTCCCCATCCTTCACCAGTGGCCGACCCGACCCATAATTGATGCATTTGATTTGGTTGATGTCCCTTGTCTTCCTCTTCCGAATTCTAGCTATCCTATAAATGTCCTTCTCCCCCTCCTTCGTGCCTAGGCGCTGATAAAGGTCATTATAGGCTTGACCCTTCGCTACACTCACGGCACGCTTTGCAGCCCTCCTCGCTATTTTATAGCTCTCAATGTTGGTTGCACTCTTGTTAAGGTGGAGACGCTTGAAACACTCTTTCTTCTCCTGAATAGCCCTTTGCACCTCGTCATTCCACCACAAAGTGTCTTTCGCATCCTGCTTGCCTCCCCTACTCACACCAAGTACTTCTGCGGCCACCTTCTGTACACATGTTGCCATCTTTAGCCACATGTCATCTACATCTTCTCCTTCTTCCCAAGGCCCCTCGCCTAGCATCCTATCTCTAAACGTCTGCGTCGCTTCCCCTTTAAGCTTCCACCACTTTGTTCTCACGGTCTTGGCACGTTTGTCCCTGTGGGCACGTATTCGAAATCGAAAGTCCGCCACCACCAGCTTATGTTGGGGGACAACACTCTCCAGGTATCACCTTGCAATCTACGCAAGCGTGTCTGTCCTCCCTCCTTGCAAGGATAAAGTCGATCTGACTTGAGTGTCGTCCACTATGGAAGGTCACTAGGTGAGATTCCCTCTTCCTAAAGATGGTGTTCGCTATCAACAAGTCGTGGCCATCGCAAAGTCCAACACACCCTCCCCCTCTTCGTTCCTACTACCATACCTAAACTCTCTGTGCACTCTCTCGAAACCTACATTAGTCGCATCCATATGTCCGTTTAGGTCTCCTCCTACAAAGAGCTTCTCACTGGCAGGCACCGTACTGACCAAGGTGTCCAGATCCTCCCAGAATTGCCTCTTGGCGCTCTCACTAAGACCTACCTGAGGGGCATAGGCACTGATCACATTCATGGTCACATCCCCAACTACCAATCGAATTAAGATAATCCGGTCGCCTTGCCTCCTAACATCTACAATTCCATCCTTAAGTCTCCTATCAATCAGGATGCCTACACCATTCCTACTCGATGAAGCCCCAGTGAACAAAAAAGCTTGAAGCCAGTATCCTCCACCTCCTTCGCCTTCTGCCCCTTCCATTTGAAATCTTAAGGAATAGTTAATATATTTCACTTTCATTATCTGGCCAAGTAACACTATTTTGTATCTTTGGTCATTATCTCCAAAATGGTAAATTATGTTGATTTGAATAATAATTTGTGTTTCTTTTTTTGTATATATGATGAAATAAAGATGAAGTAAAAAATTACTTAACATGTTACCATTTTCCATAAATATTTTATGATGAAAGTCAATATTTGTGATAAAAAATAATTTACTTAGAACTTAAAATATATATCTAAATTGAAAATAATATAATCAATATGAATCACGAAAAATTAAATTTGTAGTTTATTATAATGGATATCAATAAATTTATTGCATATGTTAATAATATTATTAAAGGAAACAATCATTTTGATCATATCTGATTTGGAATTGTGTATATGAAAACAATTAATGTATATATTTTAAAAGTTTCCAAAGAAAGTATACATTTAATGCTCAAAGATTTTTTGGCTACTTTTTTTAGTAAATGGTTATGTAACGCCCCATTATTTTTAAAAGGTAAAGACCCGAGTTTTCAAAAATAGGAATAAATTTTTCGAAAATGATTTTCTAATTTAAAATCGTTTGAAGGACGTTACTCAAACAATATTATCACTTAGCTCAATTCACTGTTGAACAAAAGGAACCTCATTGTCTAAAATCACATTACCATAATTCATCAAAAGATAATAGGCATAATTAACAACGAAATCTATTATTAAGTTTAGGCAGTTGAAGAGAATCTCAAAATCGAATAATACACGAGTTTGAAAACATTAAGCGGAAGCTAATAAAATAAAATTCAAAGTAAGATAGACCACCTTCGTCTCGTCATCGCCACGACCATCAACTCAACTTGAAAATATAGTAGTAATGGGGGAGAGCAAACAACTGGTTCACCGTGGGATTACTATGCATTATATCCCGAATAATGATAACATAATCGCAGCATGAACATAAATCGCATATCACATCTCCTATCAGACCAGCTCATGTGTACACATCTAAAAACTCGTTGAAGGTCGAAATCGCACACGACAGTGGGAGCTCATGTCGAAGCCGCTACCTCTAGTTAGGCACTGTCGAAGGTTGTAACCGCACACATGACGGGGATACCTTATCGAAGGTCGAAACCGCACACAACGACAGGTTACATGGTTCACATACATACATTGATTGTAATATCAAATGATTATAAGAAATAAAACCGTAATAAAGTTTATCAACAACAACCACCTGTTCGGATAAGACGGAAAAGATGCACTACGTCGCGATAGATTTGAGGTTCGACTCGTCACGGCTAGGCTCGCCTAAGAGACTTAACTCTTCTTCTGATGTCTGACTCCGATGGGAAGCAATGGGAGGGAAGGGAGAGACCATTGGAGTAACTCGGTACCTGAGAAGTCGAGCCTCAAATCTAGCGCGCCTTAGTGCATCTTTTCCGTCTTATCCGAACAAGTGGGTAGGTATTGATAAACTTTGCTACGCTTTTATTTCTTATAATCGCTTGATATCATAATCAATGTATGTATGTGAACCATGTAAACTGTCGTGTGCGGTTTCGACCATCGATATGGTATCCCGTCGTTGTGTGCGGTTTCGACCTTAGACGGTGCCTAAGCAGTCTCCCTTTGTCTGTCGTTGTGCGTGGTTTCGACATGAGTTCCCATTGTCGTGTGCGGTTTCGACCTTCAACGACTTTGTAGATATGTACACATAAGCTGCTCTGATAGGAGATGTGATTTATGTTCATGCTGCGATTATGTCATTAGTTATTATCTGGGATATATTGCATATTATTCGCGGTGAGCTGGTTGTTTGCTCACCCCCATTGTTACTATCTTTTTTTTTTTCAGGTTGAGTTGATGGTCGTGGCGATGACGAGATGATGGTGGTCTATCATATTTTTAAATATTATTTTATTAGCTTTCGCTTAATGTTTTCAAACTCATATTGTTCGATTTTGAGATTCTCTTGAACTGTCTGAACTTGATAAGAGATTTCGTTGTTGATTACGGATTATTATCTCTGAATTATGGTGACTTGATTTTGGACAAGTTCTTTTTGTTCAGCAATGAATTGAGCTAAGTGATAATATTATTTGAGTAATGCCCTTTAAACGACTTTAAATTGGAAAATCATTTTTGAAAAATTTATTCTTATTTTCGAAAACTCGGGATTTTACCTTTTAAAAATAACGGGGCGTTTTGTAGATATAGATTACATGATACTGTTTATAAATATTGAACATAGGTTTTATATCTAATTATTGTTTTTTTATTTGTTGTAATTATTTAATATTTCTTTTCCCAATTAGGATTCATAAATAATTATCTACTTACAAATGTAGATATTAGTACTTTGTTATTTTATATATGCGATATAGATGTCAAATCGAAATGTATTGAAAGATGATATTTTATATATGCAATATGAATATCAAATGAAAGATGATCAAAGATAATTAATTTAATACATTATATGTAAGTTATGACAAGTGTTTTATATTCTTAAAATTGCTAAACTACATGGATAGAAGTCTAAATCTACATGGACTACTCCAAATCACAAAAAAATGTATATACAGAATTACGGAACACAAAGAATTGGCATATAAGATTATGAAGCACCACACATACACTTAGACTAGGAAAAATCAATATTTATATATATACGGATAGATTTGTCATCAAATAACTTTTCCTGAATGAAGCACCCTCCTAAAACTAAACTTAAAATCAATATTATAGAAAGAAGCAGGAAACTAAAAAAAATAAAAAATAAAATAAAACACTAAACTGCAAACATAAAAATGAACCTTAAAAGTTTGTGAAGAAAAAGCCTAAAATCTGCAGAAAAAAATAGCTGAAAACTAAATTTGGGGCAGGCTGACAGAATGTACACGAGTTTTTGTCTTCCTGAAATCTGTAACTATGTTATCAATGGTGGATCTGTGAGCAAAAAACAGCCGTATGTATGTGTGCGCGCGCTTCTGTGTATATATATATATATATAATATATATGTGTGGCAGTTTGCATGACAGCATATGGCAGAAGGCATGGTGGAACCCAAAAAAATTAAATTGGTTTATATATATTTGTTTTAATGAATCGATCTTTGGGGAAATTAGGTCGACCACGGGTGCCCCGTGGCTGCAGCCGTTTAACAACATTGATCGTATTGGCACTACAATTGAAAAGAAATTCCACATGCATTGAAATAGGTGCAAACAAATGAAAAGATTTGAGATACTGCTGAAGTGGTGCGAGAAATGTGAATTTGTTCAAAAAGTTTGTGGAAATACTTGGCAGTGCTTGTTCTTTTAAGAATTTTGTTTGCTATAATCATTTTATACCTCTACATGGGACTTGTTCTAAGTACAAAGACTGCAGGCGTCTCTGCTTGAAGAAAATATAAAGCCTCGGACTGATCTTCCTCCACTGCTTGTGCCTCTTCGTGAGAGGAGACCAGAAAATCTCCACTACCTTGGAGTATCTTTTGGGCTTACTCTCGACCTTTTCCGTTTTTGGAGGAGACATAACTTTGCTCCGTTCTACATTAATCATTCCCCAGTTAAGATTGTTTTCTCCTTTTTATGTTTCAGATTGATTCGCTCTACTTTGTTGTATATTTTTTTCTCAAGCATATTAACTATCAGCTCATGAAGTGCTTTTCCATTTCAATGCTCAGAATCAAGTAACCGGCGAGCATACTTGCATGCTTGTGAGGCCATTAAACAATGATGACATTGAATCTAGTGGGTCTGACCCATTGGGGTTTTTTAGCCCTTTTTATCAAGGTTTTTCTGACTCTTGTTTATTGAAAGTCATTTCTTCTGAGTTTGGGGTCTGTCTTTTTTTTTTAATTATTTTTTTTCTCATAATCAAAGGCTGATTTTTCCAATATTGGCGTCAGTGTTCAGGAAGAAGTTTACTAAGTATTTAGCCCGTGCATTCCGTCACTTGGAATACAAGCTTGCCATGAGGTACGATATTGCCTTTTGTTTTGTCATCTATTTAGAAGATTCTTGTTCATTTTATTTTCATTTACTGTGCAGTATATTGGATCCAAAGATCAACTTCTCAGAGTTGGCTGGTGCCTCGTCCTGTACAAGTGGAGATTTGAGTTCTATCAGTGGATCATTGTCAGCCTATGGTATGGCGCAACTGGAAGCATATACAAGCAATCTTGTTGACCATCACATGGTATGATCTTCACATTGATGATGATGTTTTCATCTGACGTCATGGCTGAAAATGTTCCACTTATTGCAGACTGAAGACTTTGTGAATGATCTTGCACTTGCTTACTTCTGGGAGAAGATTCCTGTTAGCTTGTCATATGCCCAGGCTTCTGTCTTGCTCTGCATTGGTCTGCAGGGAAAGGATATCTCATGCATTGAGGTATTCTTTTTTCTTCACTAATTTCCTCCAGTTTGAAATGTTCCGATGCGTTAAGATACTTTTGCAATTGATACTCCAGAAGCAGCAATGAAAAAGTGATGGAGCATGACCGGATATGGCATGATATATTTCAATTAACTGATATCATCAAAATATACAAATTACATCAATATGTAAAGGTGTTAACATTGATTTCTGATATAATGGGGGATTTGCTAGTTGTACGCGACCTTACTTTTTTCTGATTAGTCAATATTTTAAAAACATTGCACGTTGGGAGCTCACTGTAATTCCCTTATCGAGGAAAAGGGCAAGTTGCCGTTATCAGTAGCCAATATTTTAATCCCAAATATTTTTTTCCATTACTTCATGGTATGGGCACGAAAAAATAACCCTTCATCTGTAGTCTTTGATTAGGTTGTTGAAAGTTTCATCTTGTTTGGATTTCACTATTATAAGAGCATATTTTTTGTAAATATTTGTCTGATCGCTGTACAGGACAATATCAGTATTTATCTTTGCTTCTGAGGCACATCTTTTAGCGTATATCTGTCATCTGGATGATATCTTGTAAAGCCAGTAGCATGAATTTGTTGTTTGAAGTATTTTAAGTATCCATATAATGTATTCCATCTGGTAGCACTTCAATGTTCTATACCTTATTGGTTTCGGTCTGCAGGCAGAGATGAAACTGGAAAGCAATCAGATACTTTCTTTATATAAGAAAATTATGAAGAAGTTTTACAACTACCTAAGTGGTATTTCATCGGAAGAGCCTCAACCGACTGCTTCTCGCTTAAAAGATGTAAATGAACTATTGTTTGAGTTACTTGTTGGAGTTCATTCTTATATTTATTCCTACCAACTCTCCCTGTACTTTATTAGTTATTTATTTATATATTTTAGTTTATTCATTTATCTTTTTTCAGATTATAATGGAACCTCATCCAGTATCTGTCGATGAAGATCTCAATGCTGCAGCAAAACAAGTCCAGGTTACCCCGACTTTTTCAGCACTGTCATTGGACCAGTCTCAAATTCTCAATATATTTGTGTTAATTACGAAACTATCTCTAGGGTTTAGTCTAATATCTTGAAAGTTGTAAATATCCGGTTAGGTTTAATTTTATCTATCCACATATTGTATCCTCAAGATAGGGTTTTGGGATAGGTAGATACAGACACCATCACATATTAATATAAACTTTAGGGATGCCTTTCTAGTAATGAATGATGATCAAAGTTTTGCGTCATTAACAAGCTTTCAAGAACTTGATGGGTCATCGATTTGGACTAGTGTTTAAATTTATTAATATTTTTTAAAATTATATATTAATTGAGGTAATACATTTGTATAAAAACCAATGTTATAAAACTTGTGTGGCACTTGCTAGGTGATGGGGTGGGTCTAGCGCCTAGAGTGCTTAGGTGGGGACCATGTAGAGCAGAGTAAATATTAATAAATTTATTTATATTTATTATCATACATAATCTTAAGATACATGACATAAAATATAGTAATTAATATGGTTAAACACAAAGATTGAATATACTCATGAGTATTGCATTATCTTATCATTATTATGTAATGTTATGTAACATTATGGGGCTTATCATCAAAGGATAGGTTTCACAATCATTCCTACTTTTATGTAATATTATGGGGTTTGGAATGTTCAGGATGAGATGAAATCGAAGCTCGACGGTCAATTGGATCCAGAGCTCCTTCAACAATATGCCATTGTCGATAAAGAAGCTGATTTTGAGAGTGCTTTGCAAAATGGTGGTGGGAAGGTACTCTCTGGCGGTATAATTAGCATCAAATCCAGTAACAGGAAGGTTGAGAAGAAACACGTGAAACAGTCGGAGATGGAAAAGAGCGGGAAAAAGAGGAGCAAACATGACCGTGGTTCCAAATCAAGCAAGAAGAGAAAGGCTTGATTATTTTGACGCCTTTTAATAGTTCGTATTTATATGTTCACCGGCATTACATATAATTCACACCTTATCTGATTTTTGATATTGTGAATTTTGTCTTTATACTTTCTTGTGACATTGTTGTGTTTCTAATCATACTTTTATGATTCTCATCTTGATATTGGTTTTAATTAGTAGGAGAAGAACATTGAACTGCAACAGCTTTTGGTTAAAATACAAAAATAGTTATTGTTTAGTTCTTACATCATCTGTGAGACAATTTGGTACACGGATTAGTTTCAGAAAACTGTGTTTTTTATCAACTCGAGCCACTTCCCTGTATTTTAGATCATATGCATTCAGATAAGCTCGAAAAGTAACAAGATTTACGGATATTCAATGTTTTGATGCATTTTAGAGAAAAGAAACATGGATGGTAATCAAAATTGACTGCAGTAAACCATGCAAGATAAACCTACCTGTGAACATTTGTCATTACATGGTGAATCGAAACGCAGTGTTCAAGTGAAAGCACGCGAACAGAATTTGTGAAATAGGAAATCTCATTTCAAATATATAGTTAACATTTAGTTCCAAAATCGACAGTAATTTTCGAACATTGGAATTATTGGAATATCGAAGCATGGACAGGGCATAGGAGCTAGGGATTGCTTCTAGCTAAGGAGTTAGGAAAGCATAAAGGCAAGGTGAAATTTCGTGTAGCACAAGTGAAAGAGATACATAATTTATTTACTGATTTGTAATCTACAACGCATTACTGATGCTACAAGGCCATTGATTGCATTTGAACTGGGAATAAATCCTTTGACATGATTCAATAAAAAAACAAAAGGTAAAAGGAATGTTAAAAAAAAGTGTATATATATATATATATATATATATATAGAGCGAACAATATCAGAGCACAGAAGTTCATCCATTATAATTATGGAATCAAAACTATTTCGACACACTAGGCAAGTACAAAGACTTCAAGCGTAAGATCATAACAACAATTGTATGATGCAAATGTACATAGTCTATATGAAATTGTTCCGTCACATCTCTGCAGCGAATGATTTGCCACAACCACAAGTCTTGGTGGCGTTTGGATTCTTGAAGTTGAAGCCTCCCCCAATGAGAGCATTACTATAGTCAAGTTGCATACCGTAGAGAAATAGGAGGCTCTTTGGATCACAAACTGCATCACACACAAATAAATAAATAAATAAATACAATTTTCAGATCAAAATTCAAACATAACAACCAACCTCTCTTACTTCCTAATCAAACTGAAAGTTAATTGTTTTCTTTTCCGAGAACTCTGCTCACTTTTTTTTTTATTATTATTTTCTAAACCATGAAGAGACTGAAGAAAGGTCGCAAGTCACACTAAAAGGGTTGTGGTATTCCTGAATGGAAGCAATAATATTACTTTCGGCAAACAAAGAAACTTCTGGCCATCCGATTAACATTTGCTAAATATGCCTTGGAACAGATGAGGGTAACTTCAAACATTTTCAAAATATGCTCTGAAAACCTCGAAATTTTAATGTTTCAATAGGTATGTTCCCTATGAATAACAATTTCTGTGTTCCTCAAAATGTGTATCTGAAAGAAGACATTTGCAAAATCATCTAGCTTTGTTGGAAGCCAACAAGGAGTTTTGCCCTCATATACAAATATCAAGCGCTAGTTCATGCTCATGGTAAGAAATCTATGGTACCAAATTTCTAAACTAGAGGTTTAGGAACCAGAATATTCTCTTACTAAAAGCTTATCATAAGACATCTTTTGTCAGAAAACCATCTTCTTTGTTCGTGCTACCAAATTTAATATACATACACACACACACACACACGTCTTAAAAGATTGAGTTAATTACGAAGAATATTTCAAAGATTTTGAAAATTATCAGAAAACCCTGAAGTTGTGGTATCATCTTAAAATATTCTACATTCAAAACAAAATACGTTTGAAAGAAATATAAATGAAATTCATAGAAATATTATCACTGCACCTCTATAAATTTTACACAAGATAATTGTAAATTGTAAGACCATTAGCGTTTTCTTGTAATTAGCCTGAACCCTCAGAGACATTTTTCACTTTTGTAAGAGTTAAGTTATAGCACAAATGGTTTACATATTGGGTTGCCAAGAAAACACACTTTACATCTACCACTTCAACACCCATCACATCATCCCAAAAGTCAACCACCATAGTCTTGCCAACAAATTCAGTAAACCAATAGGTCAATCACTACCAAAGAAAGAAAGAGATATACCTATAACCACACCATCGTACTCCATGACAGAGTCATCGGGCCTAGCATTTTCTTTGCTCTCGAACTCCATAGTGTAAGACATACCAGAACATCCACCTTGTTTAACACCAATTCTAAGGCACAGGTCTTCATTATTGTCAGATCTCATTTTACTTAGGTGCTTTAGAGCATTGTCCGTCAGGGTAATAGCCGGCGCTAGTCCACCAGCTACCAATGGTGCTAGAGCAAAAAAAAAAAA